GGGACGAGTTGCTAGTTGAGGGTGGGGGTAGTTGGTGGGTTGATGTAGTTTGTGTGGGTGTTACTGTGTGTGTTTGTGTGGGTGTTAGTTTGTGTGTGTGTGGGTGTTAGTTTGTGTGTGTGTATGTGGGTGTTAGTTTGTGTGTGTTTGTGTGGATGTTACTGTGTGTGTTTGTGTGGGTGTTAGTTTGTGTGTGTTTGTGTGGGTGTTACTGTGTGTGTTTGTGTGGGTGTTAGTTTGTGTGTGTTTGTGTGGGTGTTAGTTTGTGTGTGTGTGTGTGGGTGTTAGTTTGTGTGTGTTTGTGTGGATGTTACTCTGTGTGTTTGTGTGGGTGTTAGTTTGTGCATGTTTGTGTGGGTGTTGTGTGTGTGTGTTTGTATGTGTATGTGTTTAATGTGTGCTTTGTTTGTGTTAGTGTATGTGTGTGTTTATGTGGGTGTATTTGTGTGTGAATGTGAGTTAGTGTGTGCTAGTGAATGTTTGTGTGTGCGTTTGCCTGTGTTTATGTGTGTGTTGTTTGTGTATATTAGTGTATGTGTGTTACTATGCGTGTGTGTGTGTGTTGTTTGTGTATATTAGTGTATGTGTGTTACTATGCGTGTGTGTGTGTGTTTATGTGGGCGTATTTGCGTATATGTATGTGTGTTTGCGTGTGTTTATGTGTGTGTTTTATGGCAGAGATTATCTAAAGGCTTGTCACTATGATAATCAAGTTTAACAGCAACATCTGTAACAGACGACCAGTAGGTAGACAGCTCAACTCATCCTCCCTGGAACAAGTTAAATTACCGACCAGCTCTGGATGTCCTGCCAGAGTCATCCAGGAGAACCATTATCCTTATCATCCAGACACATTGGAGATAAATGTCATCCTTATCATCCAGCTTCTCTCGAGAGAATATTTGCATAAGTGAAAGTAAGAATAGAAAGCGAGGTGTGCAAAGAGCTTAGTAAAGATTCAAAGAGCTTTTCAATGAAGAAATTAGAGAGTTAACAGAAGGCACTTGATTCAGACCAGATCAACAGGTACGAGAAAGCGTCAAGGAAACAAAAGGAGTGAGAAGGCTTTCGAAAGATCTTGTAACAAAAGCAATGGGATCGGATAGCAAATCTTCCTGGATGCTGAGGCAAAATCCCAAATGTCTTCGTTCAACCTCCCCAGTCAAAACAGTTGCCAGAAAATTAAAAAAAAAAAAATGTTGACCCCCATATATTAAAAAAGAATGATGGATATAAAACACTGAATTTCAGTGTATATTTTTTTAAATTCAAGAATATTGGAGGAGATTTTAAGGGAAGGATTTAGGAGCACAGGGAGAGGTGCAAAATCTTACAGGAAATCAGCACGGATTTATAGGTGGAAAATCGTATTTTATAAATTTCCTGGAGTTTTGTGACAGTCACAGAGATTAAACATGAAAGAGAAGGTTGGGTGGATCGCCTCTTCTTGGACTGCAGGAAAGTATCTGACACTGTACACACGCTTGAGATTAATCCACACACACGCAGACAGACAGACAGACACACACAGACACACACAGACACAGACACAGACACACACACAACACACACACACACACACACACACACCACACACACACACACACACACACACACACACACACACACACACACACACACACACACACACACACACGAGGTAGGATCCATACATAGCTTTAAAATGACGTAGAATAATGCTCTTGGAGCAGGGAGAGAGAGTGGATCTATCAGCGACTAGCAAAGAAGCAGAATTAGGAATTGTGAATCGACCCCTGCAACCAAAAATATCTGAGTACACAGTACAAGCATTCCACATTAGTTTCCACTAACATGAACAATAATATTGAAAAATGATCAGAGGAATCAAAATCTAGTTTATTTCTCTCCCGAGTATTTTAAACACTACGACATCTGTGGAGGTCTGCAAGAGACCAGAAAATGTCCCACTGTGTCCAGCGGTGTAAATATTGCGGGTTGAAAGTCGCGTTCTGGCTTCACTGTCTCCCTCTGTCCGTGTTTGTTTTGTGTTCTCGTGTTTTTGTCGTGTGTGTGTGTGTGTGCGTGTACTCACCTATTTGTACTCACCTATTTGTGGTTGCAGGGGTCGATTCACAGCTCCTGGCCCCGCCTCTTCGCTGATTGCTACTAGGTCCTCTCTCTCCCTGCCCCATGAGCTCTATCATACCTCGCCTTAAACTATGTATGGTTCCCGCCTCCACTACATCACTTTCTAGGCTATTCCACGGCCTGACTATTCTATGACTGAAGAAATATTTCCTAACATCCCTTTGATTCATCTGAGTCTTCAACTTCCAATTGTGACCTCTTGTGTCTGTGTCCCATCTCTGGAACATCCCGTCTTTGTCCACCTCGTCTATTCCGCGCAGTATTTTATATGTCGTTATCATGTCTCCCCTGACCCTCCTGTCCTCCAGTGTCGTCAGGCCGATTTCCCTCAACCTTTCTTCGTAGGACAATCCCCGTAGCTCTGGGACTAGTCTTGTTGCAAACCTTTGCACTTTCTCTAATTTCTTGACGTGCTTGACTAGGTGTGGATTCCAAACTGGTGCTGCATACTCCAGTATGGGCCTGATGTAAATGGTATACAGAGTCTTAAACGAATCCTTACTGAGGTATCGGAACGCTATCGTAGGTTTGCCAGGCGCCCGTATGCTGCAGCAGTTATCTGATTGATGTGCGCCTCAGGAGATATGCTCGGTGTTATACTCACCCCCAGATCTTTTTCCTTGAGTGAGGTTTGCAGTCTTTGGCCATTTAAACTATATTGTGTCTGCGGTCTTCTTTGCCCTTCCCCAATCTTCATGACTTTGCATTTGGCATGGTTAAATTCAAGGAGCCAGTTGCTGGACCAGGCTTGTAGCCTGTCCAGGTCTCTTTGTAGTCCTGCCTGATCCTCATCCGATTTGATTCTTCTCATTAACTTCGCATCATCTGCAAACAAGGACACTTCTGAGTCTATCCCTTCCGTTATGTCGTTCACATATACCAAGAACAGCACAGGTCCTAGGACTGACCCCTGTGGAACCCCGCTTGTCACAAGCGCCCACTCTGACACCTCGTCGCGTACCATGACTCGTTGTTGCCTCCCTGTCAGGTATTCTCTGATCCATTGCAGTGCCTTTCCTGTTATGTGTGCCTGATCCTCTAGCTTTTGCAGTAACCTCTTGTGAGGAACTGTGTCGAAGGCCTTCTTGCAGTCCAAAATATGCAGTCGATCCACCCTTCTCTCTCTTGTCTTACTTCTGTCACCTTGTCATAAAACTCTAGTAGGTTTGTGACACAGGATTTTCCTTCCCTGAAACCGTGCTGGTTGTCAATTATACACTTGTTTCTTTCCAGGTGCCCCACCACTCTCCTCCTGATGATCTTCTCCATGACCTTGCATACTATACACGTTAGTGATACAGGTCTGTAGTTTAGTGCCTCATGTCTGTCTCCCTTTTTAAAAATTGGGACTACATTTGCCATCTTCCATACCTCAGGGAGTTGCCCAGTTTCAAATGATGTGTTGAAGATCTTTGTTAATGGCTCACACAATATCTCTGCTCCCTCTTTAAGGACCCACGGAGAGATGTTGTCTGGTCCCACCGCCTTTGAGGTGTCAAGTTCGCATAGCAACTTCTTCACCTCCTCCTTGGTATATGTACCTCATCCAGCACTTGCTGGTGTGCCCCCCTGTTCTGATTTCCTGGAGTCCTACTGGTTTCCACTGTAAATACCTCTTTAAATCTCGTGTTGAGCTCCTGACATACCTCTCGTCGTTTCTTGTGAATTCCCCATCACCCTTCCTCAGTCTGATTACCTGGTCCTTGACTGTTGTTTTCCTCCTGATGTGGCTGTGCAACAGCTTCGGGTCAGTCTTGACTTTCGATGCTATGTCATTTTCATATTGTGTGTGTGTGTGTGTGTGTGTGTGTGTGTGTGTGGGTATGTACTGTGTGTGTGTTTTGCATTTTCTAATATTCTAGCAATATTTGTTGAACAAAATAATTCCTCTGTCTATATTATTGTTCATCTGTTCTGTTCTCGAGCCTCCGCTGAAACCAAAAAAGCCTCGACCATATCACGGGACTACAAATCCAACACCAAACCACGGAAAAACAGCAACATAGCCTGAACCGCGGCAGAGATCGCTTTTCTCGCCTGTACAAATACAAGAATATAAGAGTAGGGTCGAGTCAAGCCCTGAGGTACAACTCTTAACTGACCTTCTCCTGGCGGTGATTTGTTTCCCCTGTCACCTGTCAAATGCCTGAGTGTAACTGGGTTCTCGATGACTGTGTTGGTATCCAGAGAGCAGGGGATAGGTTGGAACTGTAGCTGGCAAGTGTTGCGAGGGCCGTGGGTAGGTTGTGGCTGACTGCAAATGCATTCAGTGACCTGGATAGGTTTTGTATAATTTAGAGGTTCTAACCTGTGTGGGTTGTGTTTAAAACGTGTAGGTTTGGTGAGAAACGATGATTGTATGTTGTATGTGTGTTGGCTTGTGTGTATTGTGTGTGTGTGTGTGTGTGTGTGTGTGTGTGTGTGTGTGTGTGTGTGTGTGTGTGTGTGTGTGTGTGTGTGTGTGTGTGTGTGTGTGTGTGTGTGTGTGTGTTGTGTGTGCATGGTGTGATGGTGTGTGCATGGCGTGCCTATAAACTGTATATTACTTGCTATATGTTGTTTGTTGTATGCAGAAATAACAAGCCATTTGGGCAGCATGAACCTCACTCTAGGCTGGCAGTCATGGTTCAAACCTCACAAATTCCATGCAACGAAATATCAACACCCAGTATTTTTCACTCAATTCTCTGGAATGAACGTGCAGTATTTGTTAATCATTATTGATGGGGCGTTCAGGAGTGCATGTGATATGAGTGTGTGTATGTGTGAGTGTGAGTGTTTGAGTGTATCCTCTACTTTGTACTAGAGAACGAAAGGGCCAGTTTGTATACTAGTGCGGAATGTACAAGGTGCACTCTAGAGTAGAAAGGCTAGAGTGTATTCTTCAGTGAAGTGCTATAGTGTATGATAAACTGGAAGGGTTAGAATGCACCAGTCTCTTGGATTTCACCCAGCTGGAAGGATCATCGGAAAATCAAGCCAAATCATCCCAGTAAATGAAAGCGAGACACTGTCTCGAGAGGATTGAGGTATGTTGCAGCTCTACGGTCAAGGACTCACTAAGCTAGGAACGATACTGTCGTCTGTAATCCTGAACTGGTAGGTATTATCCTTCTCAACTTCGCTGGATAAGTTATTTGTATCAAATATAAATTCCAGTTAGGAACCAGAGTACGGTTGAACCACAACGCCTCAGAACCCAGGCTATCACCTCATGCAAATATCCAGGACCTCTTGAACCTACTAGTACCAGGAGTTCTGCATTAGGTATGTAGATTATTATCCGTCTACCTGGAGAGTTATCTACCCCTGGTAGATGAATAATTACCTACGGTGATGCGATAAACTCCATATGGTTCTATTTATGTTCTTTTAAAGTGCCTGAGTAAATGTTGTCACAGTTGAACCTAACAGGTAAGTAGGTTCCACATAGGTTCTTCCAAAATGCATACTTTCCATTCACTTAAAAAAATTGGTTGAACTAATTGGTTAATGGGGTTTAAAACCTTTCCAATACACGAAGGTCGTTAAGACTCCATGTCACAGGTACACCAATAATCAAGAATACTTTAATATGTAAAATTGGGATTGAAGTATACTCTCAGTGTACGTATACTGAGAGATATATACACACCTCTCAGTGTATATACACTGAGAGACATACACACATCTCTCAGTGTATATACACTGAGAGACATACACTCACCTCTCAGTGTATATACACTGAGAGACATACACACATCTCTCAGTGTATATACACTGAGAGACATACACACATCTCTCAGTGTATATACACTGAGAGACATACACACATCTCTCAGTGTATATACACTGAGAAACATACACACATCTCTCAGTGTATATACACTGAGAGACATACACACATCTCTCAGTGTATATACACTGAGAGACATACACACATCTCTCAGTGTATATACACTGAGAAACATACACACATCTCTCAGTGTATATACACTGAGAAACATACACACACCTCTGTGTATATACACTGAGAGACATACACGCACCTCTCAGTGTATATACACTGATAAACATGTGATGAATGGTTTGAAAAACCGACAAGTTGAAGATTGAGACACTTTTTCAAACCATTCATCACAACTGTCAGACACTGCAGCATCATGGGATCTTGTTACAAAGAATTCTTCAACACTTGTTCAACCTTTGGACGAAGACCTACTTCGACTAGTGGATGGTACCACTATGACCCCGCCTCCGCCTGCTTCACCTCACCTCACTACAGTATATAAGCCACGTCTACGGCCCTATGCTGTACATTCTACAAGATTGATGGACTGAACACATCGACTCCAGGTTGAGGGACTGATTACCTCATACTCCTCCTCTCCTTACGCCTTCCTCTTTGTATTGGACTGATGAAGCCACTGTGTGGCGAAACGTTTCCTGAATAAAGATTCCCATATGCTGCATAAGTGTCTCAATCTTCAACTGGTAAACATATACACACCTCTCAGTGTATATACACTAAGAGACATACACACACCTCTCAGTGTATATACACTGAGAAACATACACACACCTCTCAGTGTATATACACTGAAAAACATATACACACCTCTCAGTGTATATTTCACTGAGAAACATATACACACCTCTCAGTGTATATACACTGAGAAACATATACACACCTCTCAGTGTATATACACTGAGAAACATATACACACCTCTCAGTGTATATACACTGAGAAACATATACACACCTCTCAGTGTATATACACTGAGAAACATATACACACCTCTCAGTGTATATACACTGAGAAACATATACACACCTCTCAGTGTATATACACTGAGAAACATATACACACCTCTCAGTGTATATACACTGAGAAACGTATACACACCTCTCAGTGTATATACACTGAGAAACATATACACACCTCTCAGTGTACATACAGTGTATATACACTGAGAGACACCTTACAATCCTAGACATTAGTAAGCCATAGTTCCGAAAATAAATAATATCCAACTCCGTGCAAAAATTAGTGTTCAGCAGTTCAATGCAACTTTATTTAACAGTTTTTGTTAATTTCCAAACACTGTGTGTGTGTGTGTGTGTGTGTGTGTGTGTGTGTGTGTGTGTGTGTTGTGTGTGTGTGTTGTGTGTGTGTATGTGTGTATGTGCGTGTGTGTTTATCATTAAAGACCGCCATTAAACACTCATTGCTCATTGATTCTCTGCCACGACAGTTTCCAAGACCATGAAGGAACTGAATCTCTCCTGGAAAAGCGACACTCCCATTAAAATGTACAAGAATATGAGGATGCCACAGTTCGAGATGGAGAAGATAGTCCCTACCACCTGTCAGGAGTCCTTTCAGATAGGTGAGTCAGTCCCCCCCGCTCCTCCACAATAATATGTATATATATATATATATATATATATATATATATATATATATATATATATATATATATATATATATATATATATATATATATATATATATATATATATATATAATATATTTTATATATATATATATATATATATATATATATGCTTAACAATTCGAAATTTTATTATCTCTCTCAGGTCACATCAGGATTCGAACCTTCAGAGTGTGCATCTAATTACGCCTTACTGTCGCTACACGGCCGTGTGTGTCGACGTACTTTGATGCAGAGTGTGCGGGTTCGAATCCTGATGTGGCCTGAGAGATAATGTTGCATATATGTACATGAGAGAGAGAGAGAGAGAGACAGAGAGAGAGAGAGAGAGAGAGAGAGAGAGAGAGAGAGAGAGAGAGAGAGAGAGAGAGAGACAGAGAGAGAGAGAGAGAGAGAGAGAGAGAGAGAAGAACTGTGCAAGAACTGTGTCAAAACTGTCAGTGGTGACAATAAGGCAGGAGGAGGTGCATTTCCTTCTTAAATCACTTGACCAAGAAAAGGCTGTGGGCCCAGACAAGTTGAGCCCAAGATTGTTGAGAAGATGTGCAGACCAGCTAGCAGCACCTCTAACTCGCATCTTTCAGCACTGCCTAGTACAGTGTAAATGGCCCTCTCCATGGAAAGAGGCAAATGTAGTCCCTGTTCACAAAAAGAAGAGCAGAGCAGAAATCAGCAACTACAGACCAGTGTCACTCCTGTCAATCACTGGTAAGATCCTTGAGACAATAATCTCAAGACAAATGACAGATTTTTTTGACTACCACTCACTACTTTGTGATCGTCAATATGGCTTCAGGAAAGGTTACTCTGCTGCTGATCTGTTGTTAAACCTCTCCACTAAGTGGCACCAGTCACTGGATGAATCCAAAGTCAGCTGTGTGGTAGCACTGGACATTGCTGGCGCTTTCGACCGGGTGTGGCACCAGGGCCTCTTAGCAAAACTTCAAGCACTGGGAATTGCAGGCTCTACGCTATGTCTCCTCAGTGATTACCTTCATGGTAGATCTCTAAGTGTAGTCCTCAATGGAACGGAATCAGCAAGGCATCCTATTGGGGCAAGCGTTCCACAAGGAAGTGTGCTGGGTCCACTGTTATGGAATGTCTACTTCAACGACCTTCTTCATCTCATCCCAGAATCACATGCATATGCAGACGACTGTACACTGACATTCACTTATCCAAGAGAAGAAATGCCAGCTGCTCTAAGCTACATCAATCACCAGCTGAGAGCTATATCAGCTTGGGGAAATAGATGGCAAGTAACATTTGCACCTGAAAAAACGCAAATGATGTTCGTCTCTAGGCACCATGATGGTAATGCTGGCGCAGTAGTAAGGATGAATGGGACGATGTTGGCACCTGGAGAAGAAGTTGATATCCTTGGGGTGAAATTTGACTCCAAACTAACCATGAAGAACCATGTTGTAAATCTTGCAAACAAGGCAGCCAGGAAGCTTACAGCACTTCGCCGTATCTCGCATCTGCTTGACAGTAGGGGTTGCAAGATCCTGTACGAGGCACAAGTACGCTCACACCTTGAGTATGCTCCACTTCTTGGTTTGCCTGCCCCCCCTCTCATCTGCGACTGCTTGACAGAGTAGAGAACAGAGCAAGACGTCTCATCTCTCGCCTGGACCCATCCTGGATAGATCTGTCTTTTCCCAGCAGAGCTTCAACATAGGAGGGATGTGGGTGGCCTTACTGTTATGTACAAGGCCAATATTGTCAAAATACCACACTTGGATCCACTTCGAGGACAGCGTGAAACAAGCTTTTATGCCACAAGACGGGCAGAAAGCAGCAACTTCACTCTGGCTGTACCCTTCTCCAGAACATCACTCCATCTGAGATCATACATACCCAGGATGACTCGAGTATGGAACACATTCGTACAGCATAATGATGTCAACGAGATAACGTCAGTTGATCAAATGAAAATGCTGGCCCACAGATGGCTCCAACTTCATCCTGTTCCCTACTTGTATGTCTCATAACAAAAATGCTTTCAAATGAGCTGTTTGTAGGTAACAGCTCTTAGCTTGCCAATAAAGTTAGGAATCCTTAACCTGTAAATAGCTGTCAATAAAGCTAGGGATCCTTAACCTTGTCAAACCCTGTGTAAAAAAAAAAAAAAAAAAAAAAAAAAAAAAAAAAAAAAAAGAAAAGAGAGAGAGGAGAGAGAGAGAGAGAGAGAGAGAGAGAGAGAGAGAGAGAGAGAGAGAGAGAGAGACAGACAGACAGAGAGAGAGAGAGAGATTCTAGCAAATATCATGAAAACCAGAGTTGGGAGACCAATAACATCAGTCATCAGAACAAACACAACAAATAAGAACAAACACAGGAATCACAACAACTAATGAACAAGTGAACGCCAGAGAACAAATAAAAACGTTCATAAACCCACGAAATATCACCAGCCATTTAATACCTTTAAACAACACGAAAACCCTAGTTACTAGCGCATAACTTGGTAACAAACAGTAGTGAACGATGGTAAGGGGAATCGAACTGGGGTAAACAGAAACAGCGTGGCTTTATAAATTTACGAGAATCTAATAACGCTGGAAACTATAATAGATGGTCCTGCTTTGATCCGAGGTAGGAAGAGGGTATCTCCGGGTCCTTGGATCCAGAGCCCTTAGTTAACCTCAAGGCTCCACCTTCGTGTTTTTTTAAAGCACTTAAGTTAACGTGAAATTCCGTGTTTGTGTGTTTTTCCTACGTAAGCAAAATTTTCACTGTTTGTTTTAAATGGAATTGACAGACATTTGTCAATGTTTAGATTCCAGTATTTTTAGAATTAAATACCGCAGCATTTTCTCGTTTAAAGAGTTGGGTGTTTAAACAAACACTGGTGGTGTTTTTTTTTTTGTGAGGGACGCGATTTTGTGTTTGAGTGTGTCTGTCAGCCCTTGTGTGTTCATTGCGTGTGTTTAGTGTTCATTGTGTATCTGTTCACTGTTCATTGTGTGTGTGTGTGTGTGTGTGTGTGTGTGTGTGTGTGTGTGTGTGTGTGTGTGTGTGTGTGTGTGTGTGTGTGTGTGTGTGTGTGTGCACTGTTCATTGTGTGTGTGGTGTGTTCATTGTTCATTGTGTGTGGCGTTCACTGTTTGTGTGCATGTGTTCACTGTTCATGGTGTGTGTGTGTTCACTGTTCATGGTGTGTGTGTGTGTTCACTGTTCATGGTGTGTGTGTGTGTTCACTGTTCATGGTGTGTGTGTGTGTGTGTGTGTTCACTGTTCATGGTGTGTGTGTGTGTGTGTTCACTGTTCATGGTGTGTGTGTGTGTTCACTGTTCATTGTGTGTGTGTGTGTGTGTGTTCACTGTTCATGGTGTGTGTGTACACTGTTCATGGTGTGTGTGTGTGTTCACTGTTCATGGTGTGTGTGTGTTCACTGTTCTTTGGTGTGTTGTGTTTTACACTGTTCATGGTGTGTGTGTGTACACTGTTCATTGTGTGTGTGTGTGTGTTGTTTTTTCACTGTTCATGGTGTGTGTGTGTTCACTGTTCATTGTGTGTGTGTGTGTGTGTTCACTGTTCATGGTGTGTGTGTGTTCACTGTTCATGGTGTGTGTGTGTACACTGTTCATGGTGTGTGTGTGTACACTGTTCATTGTGTGTGTGTGTGTGTTCACTGTTCATGGTGTGTGTGTGTTCACTGTTCATTGTGTGTGTGTGTGTGTGTTCACTGTTCATGGTGTGTGTGTGTTCACTGTTCATGGTGTGTGTGTGTACACTGTTCATGGTGTGTGTGTGTGTTCACTGTTCATGGTGTGTGTGTGTTCACTGTTCATGGTGTGTGTGTGTGTTCACTGTTCATGGTGTGTGTGTGTGTGTACACTGTTCATGGTGTGTGTGTGTGTTCACTGTTCATGGTGTGTGTGTGTGTTCACTGTTCATGGTGTGTATGTGTGTTCACTGTTCATGGTGTGTATGTGTGTTCACTGTTCATGGTGTGTGTGTGTGTTCACTGTTCATGATGTGTGTGTTCACAGTGTGTGTTCAAGTCGTATCCAACAGCTCCCAAAACGGGGATGACTAACACCTGTTACAACAGATCCCAAACAGTAATGTTAGTTTATAATAATAATAATAATAATAATAATAATAATAATAATAATAATAATAATAATAATAATAATAATAATAATAATAATAATAACAATAATAATAATAATAATAATAATAATAATAATAATAATAATAATAATAATAATAATAATAATAATAATAATAATAATAATAATAATAATAATAATAATTAATAATAATTAATAATTTTTTTAATCGAAAGTTTTTCAAGGAACATTTCAAGAGGGAACTTTCATAGATATACTGAGGATACACCTGGGGAAAGCAGTGACAGCGAATGTGTTTAATGGAAAGTCTCGTGGGATGAGAGATTGAGAGAGAAAGCGAGAGAAAGATAGAGAAAGAGAGAGAGTTGATTAAGGCTTGTATTGGGTGTAATGAGAGGGAATCATGTCTCATGACGAGACAGGCGCGTTGTGTTTAAGTGATGTGCGAGAGTAAGAGAGAGAGAGATAGAGAGAGAGAGAGAGAGAGAGAGAGGAGAGAGGAGAGAGAGAGAGAGAGAGAGAGAGAGAGAGAGAGAGAGGAGAGAGAGAGAGAGGAGAGAGAGAGAGGAGAGAGAGAGGAGAGAGAGAGAGAGAGAGAGAGAGAGAGAGAGCAAGAGAGAGAGCACCAACGTCATCATTACACCAGAGAAACACGTGACTAATACCTACATACACAATAAACACCTGCCAACTTGTCAACAATGTAACCCAGTGACGAACGCAGGTAGCTAACACCTGTGTGTCTCTCCAACACCTGCTGGCCCTGACAACACCCGAGGTTAGTACCTGCTACCATTACATGTATCTAGACAGACTCAGTAAATCTTTTTAAGGCATCTAAGAACAAGACTT